CAAACTAGGAAAATCCCTTAATTATTAATCGTCTGCAATAATACTGATGTAATTTTGTGAATGCTAGTTAACAGAATCCTGTCCTGTTAACAGAATCATTTAGCGAACGCTTAATAATAGGAAATTGGACGAGAAGCAGTTCAGGGGCTCGATTATCTATAGCGTCGTTTTTCATGAGTTCACGATCGAACAGGTGAAAGCACAGAGAGCCCAGTAAATCGTGCGCATTCGTGTTAGAGGGGTGGCAACGTCGAAGAGAGTAGTTGGTACCAGGTGGTACCATGTTTGAGGGCAGCGGTGCCAAGGGGTACCATCTAAGAACCTTCCTCTGACCCTCCCCGACAAGCCATCTAGCATTGACGCAAACTACAAACTCGACACACATACACACACACGCACGCACACGCACACTCTCTTTCTCTCTCTCTTTCTCCAGCAAATGTATAAAAACCTGTTCTCTACATTTGCATCTAAAGTTGTACAGGATGGATGGAGCTACTTATACTAATAAACAATTTTAAATACTGTTGCTACCATTGCTGTACTTAAACAAAAACATGATTATGATTATTGAAGAAAAAAAAGAAAATTAATACTCTCAGAATGCCAAATCAGTGAAATTTCTTACTTAAATTATTTTCTTTGCCTGGAACTGGAACTGTTTCTTCCGATTTTACTAACTTTAGATTAAATTTTGTTGTCCAAAATACATATCTAAAATAATTTACACATCTTTAGATAGGCACTTACGAGATCCATTGATAAATGGCTGATACTGTAAGTTCTCCCCTTTCTCTAAGAGCATGTTCAATGAGTTCTGTATAGGTGAAAGGTGGCTTTTTGGGTCCGTTATACCGAGTGGACGCAAAATTTCTGTTATCGAGACTTGAATAATTCTTAGTCATGTCCTGATAAGGTGCACTGTTCTCGTTGTAATTGCTTTTGACTTCGTTCAAGTAGGCGGAACTATAAGTGCGTCCATTTACTTTTGTTTTACCCCCTATAAAAAAAAGTTCAGGTATTAACATTGGTCAAAGTAACACCCGAATTATCAAAAAACATATAATTCCAACTTTGAAACTGTTCCAAGCTTTCTTACATTTCCCTAAGTACCCTACAAATGATACATAGTATTTTTCTTCCTACAAACTGTATATGAGCTAATGAGTTTTATGCACACCATTATGGCCATCCCTGAATGTTGGTAAAGAAGATCTTTCATCAGCAGCCTCAATAAATGAATCCAATTTGAAGTCTAGTAACCAGGACAGGTTCCCAGTTTCTTGATCATCAAACTGTTGCTGCTGCTGATGGTGGTGGTTACTGAAAGGCGGACCAAGTTTGTTCTCTTGCAGATTCGTTGAAGGGATTGTTACCACTGGTTCCCAGTAACTCGAGTCCACCTGGTAGCTGGTTTTGTCGACTTGAACATTCTGGATCACTTGTCCCTGTTTATGCACCGATGGCGAGGAAGACGGAGGTGTGGTATTTTCACCAACATTCTGCTGGGATTCCGGTTCAGAGATGGTGGTCCATGTGCAATTGGTCTCATCTACTAGGAGAACCTCCAAGCGTGCCATTGGACACTCCTCAGCAGCTTCTTGGGCCGATAACGGAGAAAATAGCGCCGCAGTGTTGTCACCGATTACCTGATTTGTAGCCACCAACTCCATCGGAGTCTGAATCTCTTCAAGATGGTACCGTTTCCTGTTGTTTTGGACTTCCTCGCACAAACTCTCTATATCCAGATCATCAAAAATTCGCTTCTTGGGCATTCGCAACTGGCTATTGGACACCTCGTGATCCGGAATCCCTCCAGTACCCGAAGATGGTCCAATCATGTTCTGTTCAAGGTCAGCTTTAAAAATGGACTTTGTTGATGCAAGTCTTGCTATTGTTTATGTTAAAGTTCATCAAGAATTGAGAAAATTGACTTGTATTTGTTATAATTGATAAAATAAAACTATTTGCAATTCATTTACGTTACCAACTAACAAGGTGTAACAAGGTCAATTTGTTCTAGATTCATAAACCAAAATGCAAAAAATATCGTATGACATAAATAACAACATACACAAATCAATAAAAGCAGAGAATTGGAGTAAAGCAAGTGTATTTATGTTAATAAAAAAAAGAGTTATCCCTTGCAATGGCATTCAAAATGCAACATGAAATAATGCAAAATATGCAGTGTAACTTACAAGGCCATCTTAATTGGTACCCTAAAATTAAAATACATGTTAAAATAAAAAATAAACAATAAAACATTCATCTTTTTTGATTCTTAAATGGACTATCAAAGAGGACTTAAAAATTAAACAAATCATTTGTATCACGTAGTGAGATAATAAAGGAAATAATATGAACTTAAATCTCCAAAAAGTTACATCAAGTCTTATTAAGTAATTATCAGCATAATTTGATTAAAGCCGCGGCGGTCCTAATGATCCAGTTAAGGGTTCAATAAAATAGAAAGACAGTAATCATTTAAACCACGCTGCAGATTCTCAATAGCTTACCTCGACTGTCTTATTCTTGATATCGTTGAGCCGATACACGGTGCAAATTAATTCATGCGATCGTCGGAACAAATAAGATCGTCAAAAGAATAGTTAAACCAGTCATCACGAGGTCCTGTTCTCAGCGAAAAGATGACTATTCAGGAATTCAGACAGCCTCATCGATGTTTGTGTGTACTCCTAATTGTCACAGAGGAAACACAAGGGAAACTGTTGTCTCGATTTCTGCAGAAAGCGTTCGCGAACGACGGGACAAACTGGAGAACGCCACGATTTATTATTGACGTTTCATCGTCAACTACACACAAACACTATTCGCCAAAAAAACAATGATAGATGGCTTTATATGGAACGGTGAGTTTCCACTTTGTAAACGATATATCACCTTGCGATCAGACGTTTTTCGAATATCTGCATGATCAACTACCGCGACCACGACTGTCTTCTTGTCTTTCGTATTTCAACTGTTACGCGGCGTAATGCGCACGCATCTGCTGGCCATAATCACGAGGGAGGGGATATCACGCCGGCGCAATATTCAATGCGCGCGCACGTGAAACGATATAAAGCGCGCAGAGTTGGCTATTATTCGAATTTAAAGAAGCATAATTAAAAAATACTCAAAATTTCAATGAAACTATTAAATGGTTATCGTTTTGTAAATCCCAAGAAATCATTGTAAAGTGATAAGTATAGATAGAATCAACTTTTTTGTTTATTTTTAATCATTATCCTTCGAGCTTTAATGCAAACAAAGAAAAATCTAATTCCCGAATACAATGATGTTACGAGAGAAAACAATGACGTATACGCGGTACACCGTTTGATAAGGTAAATCGTTTTATAAAGGATACAATTAGTATATCGTTTCTTCACATAAAAATATCTTTAATTTATTTGAAAGAATTTATTGCGTAAATTCGTTTGCAATAAATTGAAGCGGTATTCGAGTTCGAGATTTGAAAACCTTTCAAAAGTACCTTTCGAGAAGTTTTCAAAGATATAGAATCTCTTAAATCATAGAACTTAGCAGTAACGCACTTGATATATATATATATATATATATGTACGAAATACATATGTACAATACCTACATAGTCGCAATGCATTCAAAATCCCCGCACGCATGCAATTCGCAATACACGAGTGTAGAAAAGCTGCGTGAAAGCGGACAAGTCGATTTCGCGAGTGTTTTCCCCTCGACTGCCCTTGACGGTATTCGCGCGTATCTTTGCTTATCAGCTGTAAAAACGTTGTTATTCAACCAATCCAAGGTCAAGGTGACACCACGTTGTTGCTTCTCCTTCCTACTTTCTATGACGACCTGTGGCTGTGATAATATGCCGCTACGGCTAATACCTGTTACATATTATTGAAGGGGTCAGGTGAATGCCGGTACGGGACTAAAGATAAATGTAGAGATCCAGGATTTAAAAGAGAGACGTCGAAGATAACTGCGCTGGATAAACTTCAAAATTTATTCCTACAGTGTCGGAAGTGGGACGTACACATGTGCAAAATTCATTATCGAACTTCGTTCAAAATTAGTTCAAGTGAGAGTGTCGACCGGAAAAAGAAAACATGAAGTACAATGTAGTGTAGTGTCTACAAGTAGTTGTAAGATGTCGTACAAATCGGGCAGACGTGATCATGTTCATACATATGTAAATTTAAAAATTTATTCCTACACACGACACAAAGGAAACGGAGAAAACGGGAACGCGGATTCGCCTCGATTTAACGGACTGTACCGCGAAAGCGATTATATATCGTGCGTCATGTGTTTCTCACGCGGAGTGTACCACTAGAGTGTGTAGATGCATGCACTCGTTGCTTCGCACGGCGATCATAACGTCACGGCGAATGACATTTAAATTTTCCAGTTGAAGATTCCGCTACGAAAAAAGGAAGTAAATAGAATACGACGCGTTTACGGGAAACGTGTGCGCGTTCGACACATCACGTTACGTTAACACAGAGGATCGAAACGGTCAAAAGGAAGCGCATCATGAACGTAGACAACGACTTGGACCAGCATTTGTTGCGCCAGTTCAGCTGTCTAAGCACCACTGATAAGGACGATCTGGTAAAACAGCTGCAGAGCATGCTCGCTGGCAACTACGTAAACGAGGCAGCCGCCAGGTTCTTCCTCGATATGAATAACTGGTGAGACACTATCCTTCCCGCCAGCCGTTCTTACCGACAATCGAGTATCGTCACGTCTCTTGCGACCTAACCCTAACGTCGCCATGTTTACGTCGAGAGTTCACTTCTCTTGTATCTCTTATCTCTTGACCTTTGTGTTGACAGTTTATATCCTTCGACCCTATGCATTCGATTCACCCCTATCACATTTACGATTCAAAATCATTTCTTATTCAATAGACGACATTTTTTCGAAATTCAATCGAATGCGCGAGTTATTTAGAGTAGTTGATGTTTACTTTAGGGAGAATTAATAGAAATCTCATTGTCAGTTTCCAATCCTTCTGTTTGGTAGACTATCTTTCTTATTGAATATAAGGAACAATAAAAAAAAAAGCAAGCAGCTTTCTTTGTACTACAGTTGTGTTCTGATCATTGCTATGACTAATTACCATATAATTGCAGGAACCTCCAAGCAGCTATATGTAGTTACTTCGACTGTGAATCGCCACTTGAATTACCACATTACTGCATGACGCTAATATGTGACAGTACAATTGGTAACGGAGAGTCAGTACCACCTGATACTAAATTTCGAAAATCATGGTGTGTACAAAATAGTGGCACAGAACCATGGCCAGATGGAGTTTGCCTACAACGTACCGGAGGATTAGTAATGGGATGTACTAGGGTAGCTGTTCCATCTTTAGGTCCAAAAGAAACAACAGAGGTGAGCGTTGAACTTGTAAGTCCTCCGGTTCCTAATGTCACCTATCATAGTCAATGGAGGATGAAAACTTCTACTGGTTCTTACTTTGGTGGTAAGTTTCTCTGTTTTTCTCCATATTCTTGTGTGGAATCTCTACAATAATCTTTCCTTTTCTTTTTTGACAATTAGATATTATTTGCATGGCAATTACTGTGAGCGAGTGTGGTACTTTAGCGGTTACCCAACAGCTACATCAATTAAGTACTTCACAGTCCAACGATGTACAAATGTGTTAGCCCTTGATATCCGGAGACTTCCCTTAAATTTTTTCTTTTTCTCCGTTCTTTATGGAAAATATCTTTCATTACTTGAAATCGAACAAGTGGACATACGATTGATTCATTTGGAAGATGCTGCTTTGAATGATAGGAGTATATGTATATTTTCTGCTACAGACGTCGCAATAAACGATATTTCCAGTAGACATTTACACACGATTTAAGGAAGTACTGGATTCAGAAATTGTATAGTTGTAATTGTAATTTTTTTAGATCTAAGAGATGTTTACGTAAGGCCTTCTAACGTCCATGCTTGTCAGTTACATCTGTGAAATGTGCTCTATCTTTCTTTTTAATCGTAACGCGCATTGCAATAAATCACTTGTGATTTTCGCTTTATGAAAACAAGCAACATGTAAAATTGTAACAGACATGTATGGACCATATTATATATAAAGACCGGTATTGAGAGAAATTGGTATACATAAATGTATGTGCGTGCGTGTGTCTACGCGCGCGTGTGTGTGTGTGTGTGTGTGTGTGTGTGTGTGTGTGTGTGTGTGTACATACATACATACATATACAATTACTAAAATACGAGTTTATTAAAACCATAATTTTTATTAGGAAATAAAGTATAGATATAGTTAGAAATTGTAAAATAACTTGAATTATATTCGTTTATCGATTGTGTAAACTGAATTGACAATGCTTACTTTCTTGATGATCCTGTTCTTCAAAAAATTGTAAGTAGTGACTCATCAAAATGGTTAAACGGCCATCGCCATAGCGATTTTCGCATGTGGTTTGTAGCCAATCAATTCGAAATCTTCAGGTAGAAACTCATCAATATTTTGAACATCCCTAACTATTTTTAAATGTGGGAATGATCTCGGCTCGCGTTCTAGTTGTTCTGTGAGTGCAGATATATGATTGAGATACACATGACAGTCGCCCATTGTATGTACAAATTCACCTGGCTAAAAATAAACAAAAAAATAGTTTTAATTAAAAATTCTTCACTTCATTTCTGTGTAAGTTCAGAGAAAAGAGGATGTTGAACCTTTAAATTTGTAACATGTGCTATCATGTAAGTCAATAGAGAATAAGATGCTATGTTGAAAGGTACACCAAGACCCATGTCAGCACTTCTTTGATAAAGTTGACAAGATAATTCACCATTGCCCACAAAAAATTGCACAAAACAATGGCAAGGAGGTAGTGCCATTTGTGGGATATCAACTACATTCCAAGCTGACATAATAATTCTTCTGTCATCGGGAGAATTTTTTATCTTATCTATGACATCCTTCAATTGGTCTATACCTATTAATGTAGAAAAATATTTAAACTTTTATTTGGAAACAAAAAGCAGTTTGTTAATGTGGCACTGGGTATATTACCTTGACCATTATAATCAGTGTACATATTTTTGTATTTTCCTCCAAAGTGCCTCCATTGAAATCCGTAAACAGGTCCCAGATCTCCCTCTTCTCTATCTGTGAATCCACATGAATCTAGATACTCGCGTGAGCTATTAGCATCCCAAATATGAACACCTTTGGATGATAGTTCTTTAGCATTTGTTGATCCCCTTATGAACCATAGCAATTCTTCGACCACTCCTTTCCAAAACACCCTTTTTGTGGTTAGTAATGGAAATACATCTGTAACAAGTAAGTATAATATATTTTTCTAATATGTTATGTTATAATTATTTAAATTCTTTTGCCAATGACAATTTATATTTTCGTACCATCTCTTAAACTAAATCTCATGTGAGTTCCAAAAAGCGATAGTGTACCAACTCCTGTACGATCGGATTTCTTAATTCCCTGTTTAATAATTTTATCAATTAAATGTAAATACTGATATTCCTCATGTTTATTTTCCTTTTGTGAATATTTAAATCCACACTCGTTATTCAATGAAATTATCTCGCTCATGATTTATGTGAAAACTTTTTACCAGCGATGTAACCTATGAAACGAATATACTACATGCATACATACATTTTTTCTTGCGTTACGGCTTACGGACCATAACTTACGTTGACTTACGGGTATACGAGCACGGCATGGGTAACCGGGGTTATGGGCTATTCAGGGCTATGACTATGCTAATGAACCCCATCGTATATATGTCCTATACACATATGTAGATACAACAGGTGGTATAAGTAAAAATCGAATTGTACATTCTGTATATTTTATATCAATTACAGGTTAATATAATTGTTTAGCAAACATCAATTTGAAATGTAAATAAAGAGTGCGCGCGCGTATTCCAATTTCTGTAATAAAAGAAGTGCAATTTCATGTTGTGATGTTCTATCGGAATGAGCCAATGATGTCTCTTACATTTTACACGTCGATGTTGGGTGGGTGTCACGAGAGCACGGGGACAGTTGGAGACAGTCGATGGTCGAAGTTGAAATTCAATATTGATGAGGGTTCCATTAAATTTTTTAGAAGAATGACAATGGTGTTTGATAAAATAAATTCTTCCATATTAAAAGTCATCGAACCTTACAGAAAATGGGTAATAGAAAATCCAAAGTTGCTGGCAGATTTGGAAGAAACAATACAATGTTTATCTTACTTCACAGCTGGTTCGCTAAAGAATGTTTCTTCCTTAACAAAATATAATGTTTACGTTTCGATATATTCTACAAATTCGTCTTTTCCAGGCCGTTTCAATAATTCTACATTAATGTCGGAGCTTATTTACTCTCTGTCAAATCTGATAGTACTTTTTAATGATTTATTAATGTGCAGCGGTAGGCATTTACATTTAAAATTTCCCCAATTTAGGTCAAAAATCAAAATCTGGTTAACCATTGTTGAATACACAGAAACTTTGTTTGAGATCTCTGTTAAGAAACAATGGGGACATACTGGTAAATGGTTTATAATTATTGTGATACAAATATTCAAGTAAGTCATTTATATTTTCAAGCTTTTGTACTATTAATGGTAGAAGAAAAGGATGGTGAAACCATGGTATATATAAATCTATTTTAGGGCTGTGCTACGACTTCTGTTAGTACATGTGTATAAAGAACGAGTAGTAAAAAGTCCTCCTCTGAAGCCACTTAATAGAAATCAATTGGACGATTCTGAAGTGGAGAAGATAAAAGAAGGATTCACATTAAAACGATCTGGTACTTTTGTTAGAAGTATAAGGGGCACAAATTCAATGCATACACGCACATGGGAACCTCTATCTCCTAGTATTTATGACAACTTAAACTCCTCCCCTAAATTAGAAAGAAATATAGCTTTTGCAGAGGTGAGAATGGGTTATGCACTATTTTATTGATTATCACAAACTCTTATTAATTATGTCTAATATAGTTTCTTTTGTTTTTAGAGTTTATATATTATGAAACCACTGCTCCATTTAGGTTGTATATCTATAACTGGTGAGAAACAATGGCCACCATGGTTATTATCATTAGCCATTGATTTACTTAGGTAAATAATTTGCTATTAACAATCTAAAAAAAAAAGTTAAATCGATGAACAGTATATAGAAACGATTCATTGTTTCTTCTAGTTTACAAATATTTAATAAGGCAATAAAGGCAGCTATATTTAATAAAGAGGACGAACGGGAATTACATAGAAGAATATTAGCTGTATTGCTTTACATTCTAAGATCTCCGTTTTACGATAAATGTAGTAAACTTAGGATATATGCTTTCCTTACTGCATTATCCAAGAATGTGCCTTTTGCTAGGTTCATTGCAGAACCGATAAAAAGATATCTTCCGCACTGGCAGAGTACATACTTTTACGTATGGTCCAGTTAGTCTGTAAATCATTGCATATCTTAAAAATTCGGGAACGGTGGCATACGAAATATTAAAAGGTAATAGTAAATATTCACAGGAATGTAATGATTTGTATCCAAAGAACTGATTAATTCTGATGGTAATGTAAATAGAAGCATTAAGAAGTTCGTATTTGTGAAAATGGAGGTACAAATGCAGTAAAGGGGATCCTATATAATTTAATATAGTACTGTTTATGAATTTATAAATTTTTATATATTTTCGTCATTGGAAAAGTTACAAATGTTACCTTAACTTGGTAACAGAAACGATGGAGATAAGCATGTAGGATATTTTCTTAGCACATTTTATATTTACCACTTACTTCTACTACTCTAGGTTCGAACATTCATTTATATTTCTCAACATAAAATATTAGGAATGTACGCCGCATTTAATTTTTATACTGTTATACTTTCATAAAGTGTAAAATTCTTTTTCGAGACCAGAGCAACTTCCATCGATTTCTTTCCTTGAAATAAAAAGCTGTTCAAACAACATTTTTATTCACAACACACACACACACACACACACAAAGAGAAAGAGAGAATTAAAGGATCAATAAATATGGGAAACATTAAGAAAGATACTTTCATAGAAAATATATTTCCCTGCCCAATAAAGTCTTATGAATCTCCTTACGAAACTTCCTAGACGTTAAAAACCATAAAATGCATGGCAATAGGTCGCACATATATTACATTCTGAAAGGAATACAGCATAGCAGAAAATACAAATATGGCCTTTGGAATTAAATAAAATAATTTACATAAAAAGAAACTTCTTATTCACACATCTGGAGCAATGAATTTATAGTTACATCCTTTTTCCCCTGATTCACATCGTAAACAGATTTAATTACTTCTTTATCCACATTCGGGAACATTTCCATGATCTGCAATCGATATACTCTTGTATTGATTCAAATAGAAATGAAAATTATGTATATTGGATCTTTAACAATTAAAATGAAGAAGTAATTATATACTCCACATATTTACCTGTTTTAACTCAACCTCAGCATTTGGCATAGAACTGGGTGCATCAGGTAATACAGCGGTTACAGGTGGTGTTGTATAAACATGTACTGGTGTATACTGTCTCATATCGAACATTGTTGAAGAAGGAGCCTTTATATTTGCTGGTACGTTCATATATGGATGACCTTTGGTCTATTGAAATTCAATAAAATCATTAAATGGTCGATACAGATGTTTTCACCATATTATTAGCAATCTTTACCATATAACTAAAAACTAGATTTATCATTCCTTCCTGATTGTCTCCCTGCTTTCCACTAAGCCTGTACCAACTCTCGTAAGTCTCACCCTTTTGGAGGACTTGCGGTGGAATATCTATGTGACCCCATGCTATTAACTCGTCCATTACAAAAGAACATTCGTCATATATTTCTACATATATTTGTGTAACTCCAGGTGGCAGATAGCTATAATAATAAGACAAGAATATGTATATGATAATTAAATATACTTGAAATTATATTTGTATTCTTTGAAATGCATATACCATCGAATAACTTTGTTCCAATGTGGATTCTTTGCTCCATTGGAACACGTGTGTGTCTCGTAAACTGCATGACCTACTCTCAATCTCACATAAGGATCCATCCTGATCATTCCATAGTTTTTTACTAGTCTAGCCTATAGGAAGTATCTTTTTGAAATTATGAATAAAATGTTATTACACAATATATGTGTTTTAATTCTAAATAATATATTGTAATTTCTATGATATCGAAACCACCGGCTATCAGATTACCTGAACGATTGTTATGCTAAGTCTACCAACATGGGGTTCATGCATCACAGGCATATTTTGCAGTTGCAACTGATGAAGTGCAAGCGCAGCTTGTTCATCAGCAGCTTCTTGTTGTTCTTGTATACTATGTTCCTCTACTCTGAGAAATCCCTGAGGAAGTGGGCCCAGAAAAGCCTAGGAAAAATTCCAATACCTCTTATACATTTATATATTAGATTCTAAATATTTCTGGACATTTGGCAATTATGGAACATTGTAAAGCATTAATTTGTTAAACATATTACATTTGTTGAATTCGTTTCTAATTCTTTAGTTATCATTATCGCTCGATCGTAAAAGAATTGCACCATATTCCAGGAAATTTTATCATTGCTATACTGACTACGTATAAATTCACACAATTTACCCGTTTTTTCCATTCTTCATATAAATCTGATCGCCTCTCGGTTTCCATTATAAAATAATATTAAGTTGTATCCTTAACAAAATCCAAAATATCTTTGCCGTTTAATATAGAAGAACTACTGTCACTCACAAGGCAAATGAAACCTGTCAAACTAACAAGTGAGAACGTTTTGAAGCATCGAAATGTAATCATATCATAAAACATATATGTTATGATGACAGCACGCCATCTTAGAGAAATCTTAGAAAAAGAGGTCGCGCAGATAGTATATAAAACCAGGGCTTTTCGAATATAATTCTCTAAATTAAGCTTTAATCGTTTTGCATTAGATACTCGCACAAATGTATCACAAAGCATGAAAGTAGTATTTGATTCAGTATTTTTCTAACAGTTCTCATTATAATAATATGTACGTGTATAATAGTTTCATTAAACATTGGAAAGATTTCTTACTATGTAACACAATTTAAATTACGTGTAGAGCATTGATGTCCACGTCGTTCTACCTATGAGTGGGATCTTGTCGCACCCCATTGTCGAAATCTGGGCCATCTTCTGTTCTCATGAATCACGATGTACAATTCTTACTGATTCTTACTTATAACCGTGTCGTGGACGCTCTGTATTCAACCGATTCACCTTATAATAATGAAACTATGTACAGTTTAATTTAACATATCATAAAGATAATAAAAAGACAATGTATATACATATATGTAATTTAAGGAAACTCATATTGAAAAAAGGCGTGTTGGAGTAAAAAAGTTGCGTTCTACATTCGTGATAAATTATACAGTAATGGGACCTACTCCTGCACACCTCCAGGCCGCAACTTGATCTGTTAGCGAGGATCAGTATAGAAAGTTTCTTTGCTTTGTTTGGCTGACGATTCACTGCTGAGACAGGATCCACTGCGGATTGGATGCGCAGTAAAATGATGGGGATGTGAGTCCCAGCTTAGAGAATAAGAAAAACGTGCAGGAATAGAGCCCATTATTGTACTTTTGCTGGAAAATGGCACGAAAGCCATTTTGAAATTGACATGTATAGTATGTTTATATTTATGTACAAAGTACGTATGTACATACGTATATATTTTTTCCTCTCTCTCTCTCTCTCTCTCTCTCTCTCTCTCTCTCTCTCTCTCTTTCTCTCTTTCTCTCTTTCTCTCTTTCCCATCTCCATCTCTTTCTGTTTCTTGATCTGCATACTTACCACTTTTTCTTTCTGTTTTACTGAAAAAAATCGTGAAATGTGAAGTGCATTCGGATTAGGAGCAATTTAATAAGTAATTTATGATACATGGTTAGTCCGCATTCACTAACGTGACATTCGGATTCATTAGAAACAGGAAAATAAAGATTGATAAGAACCCTCAAGAATATTTGCTGAAAAAACCGCGAACCGGTAGTTTCTCTTGATTTCAAATTCATGTAATTTTTTTTCTCGCATTCGAATCATTTACATAGCTGCTTGTGTTAGTGGTGGTACATATACATATTAGTATGTAATTCTCCTTCCGCAATAAGTTCCAAGAACGACTACGTATTGTACGTTGTACCATATTTTCAGCAAAAGAAGATATTTGACAAATCGTCATTGAAATCATGTCGCATCAGACAGGAATCAAAGGTAAACATTTACCATCGTTTCCTGAAATTCGAATCGAAACTTTTTAAAATTTCATAAGAACTAAGTTAACCTCAATTCGATAACAATCCTTACACAGCGATACGGATTTGCAAAAGAACGAATTAAATTTGTGCCTACATTATTTATATTTTCCTGGAATGCACCATTGTTTGCCAGTTGACAATGTTTTATTAATTACAGCGAACGACGCTCTTAAGAGATTATTTGCCAAGTGCCGTGATGGCAAAATACGGGTTTTAAAAGTTTCCATAGAAAACGGTAAGTTTAGAGAGTACCTATATAAATAAGATCTCTACGTATACATATATATGTATATATGTCCTTGTCTTGCAGAGGAATTAACAGCTGCTGCTTCCTCAAAGCCTACAAACAAGTGGCAAGATGATTACGATAAACTGATCAAGCCCCTGATTGTTGAAAATCAACCTGCATATATTCTTTATCGACNCTCTCTTTCTCTCTTTCTCTCTTTCTCTCTTTCCCATCTCCATCTCTTTCTGTTTCTTGATCTGCATACTTACCACTTTTTCTTTCTGTTTTACTGAAAAAAATCGTGAAATGTGAAGTGCATTCGGATTAGGAGCAATTTAATAAGTAATTTATGATACATGGTTAGTCCGCATTCACTAACGTGACATTCGGATTCATTAGAAACAGGAAAATAAAGATTGATAAGAACCCTCAAGAATATTTGCTGAAAAAACCGCGAACCGGTAGTTTCTCTTGATTTCAAATTCATGTAATTTTTTTTCTCGCATTCGAATCATTTACATAGCTGCTTGTGTTAGTGGTGGTACATATACATATTAGTATGTAATTCTCCTTCCGCAATAAGTTCCAAGAACGACTACGTATTGTACGTTGTACCATATTTTCAGCAAAAGAAGATATTTGACAAATCGTCATTGAAATCATGTCGCATCAGACAGGAATCAAAGGTAAACATTTACCATCGTTTCCTGAAATTCGAATCGAAACTTTTTAAAATTTCATAAGAACTAAGTTAACCTCAATTCGATAACAATCCTTACACAGCGATACGGATTTGCAAAAGAACGAATTAAATTTGTGCCTACATTATTTATATTTTCCTGGAATGCACCATTGTTTGCCAGTTGACAATGTTTTATTAATTACAGCGAACGACGCTCTTAAGAGATTATTTGCCAAGTGCCGTGATGGCAAAATACGGGTTTTAAAAGTTTCCATAGAAAACGGTAAGTTTAGAGAGTACCTATATAAATAAGATCTCTACGTATACATATATATGTATATATGTCCTTGTCTTGCAGAGGAATTAACAGCTGCTGCTTCCTCAAAGCCTACAAACAAGTGGCAAGATGATTACGATAAACTGATCAAGCCCCTGATTGTTGAAAATCAACCTGCATATATTCTTTATCGACTTGATACTAAGTCTCCTGATTCTGGCTATGATTGGTTGTTCATATCCTGGTCACCTGATACTGCACCAGTTAGACAAAAAATGCTTTATGCATCAACTAAAGCTACATTAAAACAAGAGTTTGGTACAGCTTCGATAAAAGAGGAATTGCATAGTACTGTACCAGAGGATGTAACCCTGGAAGGTTACTATAAATACAAGAGAAATGATGCAGCTCCAGCACCGTTAACCACTGCTGAAGAAGAATTAGCAGAGCTTAAGAAGAGTACAGTTAGCACAGATTATAGCGTAGAAACAAGACACCAAACATTAAGTGGAGTAGCTTTTCCTGTAACGGATGAAGCAAAACAAGCGATTACAGAGCTAGGTAGAGGAGTTCATGAGTATGTTCAGTTGAAGATCGATTTGGAGGAAGAAAAAATACACCTGGTCACAGCCTGTGACATTTCATTGGATAAACTGCCAACAAAAGTTCCATCGGATTCTGCTAGATACCATCTTTATAATTTTAAACACACCCACGAAGGAGATTACATGGAATGTATTGGTATGTGAGTGAAATAGGTAGAAATACTATAATGATTTTACTAAGTAATATTTTGTGTGTGTATGTTGCAGTTTTTATATATAGCATGCCTGGATACAGCTGTAGCATCAAAGAAAGAATGTTGTACTCGTCGTGTAAAGCACCTCTTCTAGAACTTATTCAATCACTCGGAGTAATTATAATGAAAAAAGTGAGTATAAAGAGCTACTTTACAGTTCAATTATATATTTTCCAGCTTACTTTATTTTCATTGTTTTTGCTTGTCTATTAACAGGAATTATTTAATGCATTCAATTCTACATGTATAGGTATCCATACATTTCTTTAATTCTTTGTATTCCAAAAAACTAGAAAAACCAAACTCGCATTTTTCACTTTCTTTTACTATACTATATGATATCTCTTTCTTTTCTAGCTTCTACTCTTTTTAATATTGGAAAGTAAAGTATTATTTTTTTTGTAAAATTTTGACAAATCCTAGTTGGAAGTAAATAGTGGCGAAGAGTTGGCAGACATGTTGGAAGCTCCTGCAACCATAAAAGAAACAGCTGCTATAACTCCTGCAACTCCGTCAACGCCCTATGCCCCTACTCAATCTATACCAGAGAAAAAATCAAAGCAGAAGCGATCTTGTGTCTTGAGTTAACCGATTCTATGTACTTTGATTGCCATTATTTTTTATTACTCTTCAATGTTAAAGTATTTGTGATGTCTTACAACACATTCGATATAGCTTCCTCCATAAATTCGAAATTTGTGATAGTATGTTACAAATATGTAGTTTTAAAATGATATGATGAGTTTCAGATACAATCCTCGTTGGCGTAAATATAGATACGCTTGTCGTGAAACAATTTGAATGAAAAATATGCTACGTTTTATAGAGATATGAAAACTTCTTAATTAGCAGTGTTTATTAATATTTAATGTTAATTGGCTGAAGTGATACATATACATACATATATCTATGTAGCGAGTCGAAGTAGACCGAGCAATGTATTTTTCTAAATTTTAGAAACAAAATTCTCGCGATAAGGTCTTCTTGAAGCGCTTATTGATAATTACAGACACATATTCTGGGTAAAAACGATTGTCATAGAATGCAGGTTTCTGCTGATTCATGAGAATACAGTAATAAATAATCCTTCGTTTGTGCTGGATGCAGTACTCTAAAAATGCGATGAGACTCATTGTCAGTTGAAAGTGAAGCCTTCCACTGGATTTTACACTTTTAATTCCACATATTACAATGATCAATTATTAGAATCTATTAGAATATAATTTTATGAAAGATCTTGTAGGGATATTATCTTTGTAATTACAGTTCCTTTATTTTATTTTATTCTATACATTTAGAGTTTGTCACTCGAATATACGAAAAAAAAATCCAGTGAGTCAACTGTGAGAATTAGTTCCTAGTCCAATGGAAAGTGATATGTATCATAAGTCTCGTTTTGTATTAGTGATTTTGTTAGGTGATACTTGAAGGCTTGATTTTCAAATTCATGCAAACACTTCTATAGGAATTAGCAATATAGATTAGAGCGTTTCATAAATACCTATGGTAACTTGCATACCTTACGTGATTTTTAAAGAGTTAGGGAAAATTCCATGTGCCCTAGCTAACTGACGCCACTCACCTAACTACTCTGCGTAATTTAAATAGAGAATAATAAGCAGACAAGTGATAAATGTGCAAACATCATACTGACGTATGGATATATTTTTTTGCACACGATTATCGTTCTCGAACACGAGCTAGTGGTAATACTAGCATATATAGTATATATCTATATATACATTCATCATGTTCTATATTATTGTAAATGATACAGAATACTAGACTCCACAAATATGTGTACTAAGACTGATCTTGGTATGTCCCATTGGCTGTATAGTCAAGAAATAGCACAAAGTGTTCAGATTTGTGTAGATAAAAACAAACACACTCCGTATAGTACTCATACATCTTTCAATTATTTATTTCTTATTTATTATTTTAATTTACAAACAATACATATGCGAGAGATAAGATGTAGAAGTATATAATTGACTTGTGTTCTTAATGAATTGAAAAAGTGGGAAAATGTTTTATACAACGAAGTTGGAAATCAGATTGTGATATGTTATCAGTATTTTTTTTCAAATTAATCTGTAGTTTTTTAAAATTCGTTTAACCGAGATTCCTTCTATGAAATGTATAGCAAATGGGACTATATAATCTA